CTGTTTTAATTCTCTGCATAACACATCACTGTCTGATATTTTTCTCGCTAATTTTTAACTGTCTTGCTCCACCAGAAAGACAGTTCTGTAATAACAAGATCATCAACTGTCTTTTTCACCATTTTCAGTAATATAAGCACAAACTAGGTGCTCAAATATTTGTTAAATTTGTTAAACAAATTTTCCTTCATTATACATATTCAAGAGGAAAATGTGATGTGAAAGGTTTCATGAGTGAATAATGCTTCGTGAAGGTGCCACATTCTCAAATCGTTTCTAAAGGCATTTAAAAAGTGACCTTCTTTTGGTACGTCCTACCCACTGCACAGGTGTTTCAGTGTTACTATCGCCTCTCACACAGGCGAACACAACAGCCTGAACGGATGCGCCAGATTATAAATTCTACAGGCGTGGCCAAAGCTTTCTCTTGTAGTTCCTGTAACACATGAGTAAAATAAAGACTTGCAAACGGTTTTTCTCATCGGGTAGAAAAAGTAAAAGGAGATCTGTATAGCATGGAACTTGATTAAGTACTCAATGAACTTTACAGACTAAAATCTGTAAAGTACTGATTTAAACTTGTTTTAGATGAGGCCTCCTGGGTCAGATGAAATGACCCACTGAAATAATTATCTTTTCTTGGTGCAAAGGTGCAGTTTATAGAAGAGGCTAAGGACTGTCCCAAATAGCCTTCAAAATTTACTCAGGTACTTCAGTCACTGCTGTCTTCCATACAACATCATGGGTCTGGCACTAAACACTTACATTTAAAGCTATGCCATTTCACAAAGACAGAGATCCAAGTTGTACATCCTTCCAGTTGTCCAAAATCACCTTTCAAACAAGCTACAAACCTTAATATTCTGGAATCTGGAGAGGAACTATTTCCATTAAGACAACCCTCAGGGTTTTAGAAACAACTGTTTCCCCTTATAGTTTGTGCCTTTGTAACTTTCTTACACTACACTATCCAAAATAATCTAGACTAGGTAAACATTAACAATTTTGGCTGTCAGATCATTTAGTGCCAAGCCTAAGTATACCAGGTACATGTCTATTTCCACACCACAGCTCACTGCACAAACTGCCAAAGTAACCAGAATATCAAGATATTAAAAGGTATAGTTTAAAGATCTTGAAAAAGAAAAAATTCTTGCCAAGGCAATTAAACTTTAACACTTATCCACAATCACCCATTCCCCTCTGATAGTGAAAAGCCAGTACAAAATGGGAGTTAAAAAGTCTTTACAAAGTTGCCTAAGGGAACCTAGAAACACTTTTGATGTGTTCCATGCAAGGAATGTTTGTTCTTCTACTTACACATTAAAGCATTAAAAAAGCAAGTGGAGTGGGGGGAACAACTAAAAAAAAATACACTTACTAGAACTGAAGGATACATTACAAATTCCCAAGGACAACTGGTTAGTATCTGTTTTATGTACTTCCTCATAATGACCTAATTTTTTAAACTGACAAGTTAAATAGTATAAATTCTTGTAGAAGTTCTAAAATCAGTATGTTTTAGAGACTCTTCCGAAAGATAAGTTCCTTCCTCTCTACAAATCATTTAAAAATCACACTTCGCTCTAACACCACAGGCTCTAAAGTAGAGAACAGCCTGAATTTGAACACAGGTTCTGCCACACCTTGGTTGTGCTACTTTAACTTCAGTAAACCTTAAAGTCCTCATCTATACAATAAGCATAATAATATGCCCTGCCAGGTGGCGCTTATGAAGACACTGGAAGTGCTTCATACAAGCCTGGGTGTATTAAGCACTCAAATAAATATTAGTTATTAACGCCATCACCAGATTCCAATAGTTTGGTGGGAGTCACTCTAATACTGTTTCCTCATTAGTACTTCACTAAGCAACAGTTCTTTCCCCCTGTATGTCTGCTTAATTTCCTTATCACAGCTCACAAAAACTTTACTATCCTACTAACCTAGATAAAGTATGTTTTTACTATACAAGATGACATTAGTCTTGACAATAACTCACTAAGAAAAGCACAGCTGAAGTTTAACATAACTTTCTTCACAAAAGTACCCATAATGCATCTACTTACGCAATTTCCAAAGGTCATGAGCAATCACTTAGAATTATATTTTAGAGTAAATGACAATTATTTAAAGAAAATAGCTCCTGTGTTTCCAGTATTTTCTTATATCAACAATTCCACTCCCTGAGCTAGAACAGCCTGGAATTCATGCTATTCTTCTTCAAAATCAAATAGAATCAAATAGCTGTGTCCATAAAAACCACAAGAAACTGTAAAAGACACAAAGCCAGGTCTCTGCCTAAGTTACCATATCATCTAATAGAGTATTTCTCATGTGGGGATCCCTGAAAATTCTTTTACCTTTTTAAAAGGCTTGTAACTCAAACTGAAGTATAAGAAA